GGTGCCCAGTCTCAAACGAGCAGAGGTAAAAACAATATTACCCTTCCTTTAGCTTTTTTAACCCTCGCCCGCACATGGGGGGGGGGGGGGTGGGGTGGGGTGGTTGCCACCCCCCACCCCCCCAGGTAGTCTTTCTGCTCTGCACTCGACATTTTTAAAGCTAGAAGGCTGATTTTTCGTATAGCTGCTCCTCTATCCTTTTTTGATGTCCACTGAAAATTTCAAGTTTCTGTGGTTTTTGGTTTCGAAGATATGACTTTGTTTTTCAGGTCATGTCATGACCCAAATGGCCAATTCTCAACATCTTGCGTTTGCTATGGGCCTTGTGAGCTTTTGTCACCTTGATTTCGGCCTTCTTTGCCAGTCTTACCTCCCACCTGTCATGGAGCATGTTGTTCGACGATGTACAGGTGTCAAGGTCAGGGTCAAGGTCAACCTAGGTCATCTAAGATAATTGCGTTTTAGGCAAGCTGAATTTACTTTTTGTGAAGTTTTTTGACTGCATTTTTGGTAAAAGCTTCTCAGATCATGATATCATGTAATATGGACACATAAACAATCGGTGCACACATCAGTATACACACGTACACACACAGACATACAAGCACATATAATTGACCTTGACCTAGCTTGACCTGAAATGACCTCAGCAGCAAAAATCTGGTCGGGTAGTGTGACAAAGAGGTTCTAGCTGGCTTGGCACCAGAAAACGGCATCGTCATCGGATATGATAAGCAGCGCACTAGTGATATCCAACGGTGACCCAAAACAGCAACATTTTTTAGTTTGACCTGACCTGGAAGGTTAATGAATGACCTGAGAAGGTAAAACTGGGTATCATTGGATTTGTCTCTTCCCAAAGAATCTTTTTGGTCTTTACCGCTAAGCTCTATCTCCAACAGGAACGAATTGGCGCGGGGGGTGGCAACCCCCCCCCCCCATGTGCGTTCTAGGATGGGGAAAATGGCATGTGCGGCCGAGGGTTAAGAATAAGCCTTTTTTTTGCTATTTTTTCTGTTAAAAAAAATATCTATCCGAAATTGAAGAACCAGTTCTAAGCACGGCGGAGGCAAAATACGTCACCTCGTTTCACATAGTAAAACGACGCCACGACTAGTGCATTATGTTTCCTGTTTACTTCACTGTCCCATGCCGTCTCATTTGCGCCGTTTCAGATTGTGCGCCAATGGGTCGGTCTCCGCCCCTACCGTGACCCGGTGAGGATAGAAAAGGAGCGCCTGGACACGGGACTCACGGTGATACACTGCTACGGTCACGGCAGCTGCGGGGTCATGACTGCCCCGGGCAGCGCGGCGCAGGTCAGCCGGCTGATGGCCGAGGTCACCAGGGGCGACTTCACCAACCCAGCCGTCAGTCGTCTGTAATCAAATGGCCAGCTTCCTACAGGAACCAGCGGGTACTGCTTTACGGAACAGACGCATTAATGATTAAAGTGCAAACAGATCCGGTGCATTATGTGAAACAGATTTGCTGTCAGCACGTCCGAACTCCGATTAATCGTTTTCATCAAAGGATGAGCCAGGTGACGTGATGCTACTATTTCTATTTTGTTTTTGCTTATTTGTTGTTTCACTATGCATGTGGTATGCAATTATTTACGCATTTGTTGACCACGGGCAAATCCAGGAAGCATCTGAGGAGTCCAATATTTCATTTCATGGAACATCATCCCAACTAACGTTTTCATTTTACCGGACTGTAGCAAGGGAATTGAAAGTAAGAAAGAGTAAGGGGTGCATCGTTGCGGTTCATCAAACAGCGGTCCACTGTCGTTCAGCTGGTTGTAGAAGAGAGAATAATTCGCTGCTGGAAGGAACTCAGTAGTACCTAGAGCTAGTATGTAGAACAGGGGAGCTTGGGAGTCTTGTGTGCATGAGATGAGAGATCCGGGTAATAAGAGATCCATGGATAGAGATCTGAGGATCCACCTGAGGGTCAGGTCAGGTCAGGTCAACCGGTAGGGGTTGTGACGGGTATTCGTAATACGTGTGAACCGCCTCTGACAGCTTCGTAACATGTTACGAAGGCACCAAAACTACTTTGTAAATGTTCAAATGGTTGCTAAATTCGAATTCAGCTCCAAAAACTAGCCTAGAAACATGTAAAATTCGAAAAAAGTGAACCGAGGTCACCCGAGGTTACCAAAGGTCAATGTCCTGACCTGACCTTCAGGTGACCTTGACACCCACCCTAATAAATGGGAGCAACATCAAATCACATGTTTGAACGTTTGAAACCACGAAAAGCTTGCAAACGCGCGGCTAATGCGAGTCGACATGCGGCCAAACATGGTCTCGGAAAAGAGGTCACAGGTCAAAGGTCATTTGGGTCAGGGTCATGAAATTTTCAGTGTAGGTGTAAAATTGATCAATGCGAGGATACTGAAAGTTTCGTTGCGATCGGCCGCTTTTTCCGCGAGTTATTTGCGAAAAACCTTAGGGGGGTTGCATCAACCCCCCCCCCCCTCTGCCGGCGATGGTTAATTTTGTTTTCCGTCCAATGTTCGTAGATACGTGCTTATTTTACTCACCCGACCTTCAGTCAGACTGAACATTGAACATAGAATCATTTTATTGTAAAAATATTGATTTGGCCAATTGTTTTGCTCATATATGTGAATGGTGCTGCAAAGTGTAAAATGTCAAGGAATTACGAGTATATGTGTTTGAGTTGATGTGAAAAAATGGCTTATACTCCAGGGCCTCGTTTCATAAAAGGAATTACTTACGGCGTTCCGTCAATTATGCCAGATTTGGCGTATTTGATGCCAATTCGGTTTCATAAAGCCGGAGACCGGAGTAATTCACGCCATCGAAAGTACGGAGCTTCATTTACGGCAAATGCTCGATTCCGGACCAATTGATGCCATTTGGGTTTCATAAAACGACGTATTTAACGCCAAATATTTTATCAAGCTCTTGATATCAGTGGTGTAAACTACGCACAAAAATGTTGCGTGATTTTGAATTAATGTGAAGATTCGAAGCTAATTTTTAATATATTTTATAATGTCGAGCCCGGTGAGGAAGAAAGAACAGCCAAAATGAGAAAAAGAAACTGCAACTCTTCTGTACCAGTCGCTTTTTGTGGCCACTATCGGAATTTTGTTTATTCGCCGCGCCGCGCCACTTTCGTAGGTAGGCACTTCTGCTTAGCTGGCTTTCTGCTGTTTTTAATATATTGTTTTAATAAAGATGGTCATCAATATCAATTTTATTTTTTCATAAATAATTTTTAAGATTTAAATTCAACATAATTGTTTTATAACTTCTCGTAAAAAATAAGTGTTGACATGAAATTGTAATTTGTAGGACGCTTGATAAATTACGGTAACTACGCAAATGTGCTTAGTTACGGAGGTGTAAACAATTCCAGTTGTGGCTTTGTGAAACGGCTTTATTTGCGCTCCGTAGTTTGAAAGGGTGTGAATTACGGAAAGGTGTAAGTTACGGCAGAGCTTTATGAAACGAGGCCCAGGTCACATCACGCAAGGAAAGTATGTAGATATGATCCGGAATGAACAGAACAGAAAGGGCATAACAGAAAGGATAATATATGAGGATCATTTGTGTTTGAAGGAATGCCTGTCGCTATCTAAATAATTGATCTATTAATTGAAAGCATTGCAAGCAAATTCGGCAAGGTAGGTGATTATTATTCACTTGTTCACTTGTAATTGTTCACTGGTACTTAACACCGATACGCTCAGTGCACAGTGCACACTGTTCACATTGCCTGCCACGTAAATCTGACGTCTCTCATTCATCACTATATTTCGCTAATTATGAGCAAATAAATCCCTGAACGTAAAAATGGCAACGAAGTTAGCTGGCAAATTCATTTGTGCCAAGTATTTCTCTGCGATGCTCTACGGTTTTTCTACGACTGGTCAAAGCTCGCACCGCTATATCTAGTAGATTGTAGTTCGTAATTAAACCGACGCAATGAAACCGAGCTCATATAATCATAACAATAACCTTGCAAGTAATAAGCTGTAACAAAAGTTAACCCGCGCCCCGCTGGGCTATTCAGTCATACGCGCCCTGCTGGGGGGGGGGGGGGCAGATTCTGCCCCCCTGTCTAACTTCCGAACCGATGGTCGTAGAAAGACGGGAAAACGGCAATCGAAAGCTCTCAACAAGGCGGATCTAAAGAGCCCAATTTTTTTTGCTTAAGTAGGTCAGAGGTCAGGTCAAGGTCAGGTCAAGGGTACAAAATGCAAGTTTCTACAGTATCGGCCTTGCACCGTAGTTGCCGAAGAATGGACTGAGACTGATTGCCCAAAACGTGTTCTTAGACTACCAAGACAATAGTCGCTGCAAAAAATGTCATTCAAAGGTCAAGGTCAAGGTCAGGTCAGGTTAGGTCAGGTCACCAAAAACAAAATATAGAAAAGAGCATGTGCGACACATGTTTTATGGGTCATTTTACTCATAGAAATAGATAGGCACACTCAATAAGTGATATGGACCACCTCTGGATGAACTTGGGGTCGAGGTCAGGTCAAGGTCAGGTCAAGTGAGGTCAAATTTTGAAGTTGGTTGTTAAGGCCTAAAAAGGTGTCTATGGCTGATGCAGTTTTTCACGGCGAATCGAATGGTGCTATTTTCGTTTCCGTACGAGGTCTAGAACTTCCAAAAAAATCATTTTTCAAAATTTTTGTGTGTCGTGACGTCATAAAATTTTGAATAACTCCCACATTTTTGAACCAATTCTTCTAAAAATTAATATGTAGGTGCACATAGACCACATCTCTGACATATATTCCGGTTTTTCGATACCCTCAAAATTTTGGATTTTATAATTATCTTCCCAAAAAAGTCAGTTTTTTGAAAAAAATTGGGCCAAAATCCAAAATTAAAAAAAAAATCGAGATAGCCATTTGATAGACACAGTAGAATCACGTATAACCTTTTTTGTTACGTCTTGATTCCTTTAAAATTGAAGGTTTTAGCGGCGTTTGAAATTTTGCCGTTTTTGAGGCGAAAAATGGCGAACATGACGTCACTAAAACGTCAATTTCTCAAAAAAATTCCAACGGATGTCGCTCAAATTTTCAGGGATTGTGTCAAATTGATGTATGATAAGGTACTTAAAGTTTCACGTCGCTGCACTGGCGTAACGCGTTTAGAAGTTATTACCGAAAAACGGGAGGGGGTCAGATTCTGCCCCCCCCCCCCAGCGGGGCGCGGGTTAATGAAACATGTCAACTCACAATACTTTTTACAGGGTATCAGATGCCATTACAAAATAAGAGCAATGCGAATCTTACACCTTGCAATGTTTAGACTTTTGGACCGTCCTCGACATAACATTTATAACAAATGAGTCGAGTATCCATATCCAGCATGATTGTGCATACTGCATACTTTTAAGCATTAACATTGACAACAACATGTCTTCATAAACTTCAAACGAAGAACCTACACTTACTGTTTCCTTACATATGGCGTGACCTGATATCCAACAAAATATTTACAAATAACATGCAACAAAGACATAACACAAACAACAATGTTTATCACGGCCAATTGTCTGTTCTGCCATCGTTAAATGGACCAGTCTCCATGTTCACAGTTGTGCCATTTGCTTCGCTTTTGTAACCGCTGTTGATCGTGACGTTAAAAGCTGAGCTGACGTTTGTTATAGATGGTCTACCGGCCGTTGCATTAGTATAGGTCGCGTGATCAGGTGACGGGTTATCTGCGATCGTGTGGTTCGCTGCCGGAGTTGACGGTGCAGACTGACAGTAGAAGTCGGAACAGGTTCTCTTCCTGGCCGCAGTTAGAGCCTGCTGCATCCACGGGTTCTCGCCGACATCCGGGGACAGCCTGTCGAAGGGAGACCCAGGTTGGCTGTGATCAGAAGGGCTCGAATCATACATTCAATATCATGAACTAATAAAAGATAGGGTGCTCGGGTAAACATAAGGTGGCAAGTTGACGCGCTGGGACAACTTGACAAGTTGACTAAGTTGACAAGTTGACTCACACATAGAAAGTGTGTAGCGTCATACCATTCAAATATTGAGCACCCAACAACACTATTCAGGGTAAGACAGGAGTATGGGGTCCGGTGAACTTGTGAAAGTGACACACGATCTTGACAATCCATCAACTCCATCGCAATTGCTTTTATATGTGACGCCTTGCATAACGCGATATTATGGATAGCGGATTGCCAATTTCGTATAATGTTGCCATTCATTTCCGTTATTGCCCTTGCGTTTTACCTTTCTACGCATAGTCATATTATCAGGTAATTACTTTAGCAACATGTTACACTAACTCGCTTTGCAACGTCCATGCCAACCAACCGTGACATATATTATGAAACGGTTACTCACACTGCGTAGTAGAGCAGAAAGCTGTCGCGGTATGGGGACGCCTCCACCTGGCGCAGTGCGCGGCACAGCTCCCGCTGCAGACACTCCGAGGTGTCGAGCTGTGCCAGCTCCGGCAGCGCAGCTCCCAGCTGGCGCCGCAGCTCGGCGGGCAGCTCAGCGCCGGCAGCCACCTCGGCGTCGAACAGGGACCTCCTGCGGCGACCAGCTGCCAGCGGTACTGTGGCGGCAGCCGGCAGCAGCGCCAGTGCTCCGATCAGCAGCGCGCCCTTGTAGAAAAGCTTCGCGTAGTCGTCTTTGAACTGGTCGTAGAGGACCTCGCGCACGAGGGTGTCCCGCACCACGCCGACGGGCGGGGCGGAGCGTGCGCCGGGACTCCGCTGAGGAGCGCCATAGGAGGGAGACGGCGGGTCGGCGGCGGGACTCCTCGGAGCGCCGTACGAGGATGGAGGACTGGCCGGCGGGTTCCGCACAGGAGATGACAAAGTGAAGGTCTGTGTGTTCTGAGGAACGGTTGCCAGGAAAAGCTGAGGCGTTGCCGCCGGTCTTCTACCCGGGAACGGCGGCGCTCTTGGTCGGACCGGACGGGACACCTCTCGGATGATGGTGTCTTTCACCAGACGTCCCCTCGGTGGGCCCTTGTGGTGGTGGTGCGGCTTCTTGCGGGGCCTAGGACGAGGACGGGGACTGAACACGGCCACCGGCACGGCCTGTACCAGCTGGACGGGGGTGGCCGGCACTGGCGGCGCCGCCGCTGGTGGGTCACGAGCTGGCGCTCCGTACGACGACGAGGGTGGGTCACGGGGAGCGTCTGCCGGTGGAGCTCCGTACATCGGTGCTGGTGCTGGTGGGTCCTGCGCTGGCGGAGCGCCGTACATCGGGCTCGGAGGGTCTCTCGGGGGAGCACCGTAGGTTCTCGGTGGTGGGGACGGTGGGTCTCTTGCCGGTGGCGCTCCGTATGATGAGCTTGGTGGATCCCTAGCCGGTGGTGCACCATATGTTGAACTTGGTGGATCCCTTGCGGGTGGCGCTCCATACATCGAACTTGGTGGATCCCTAGGGGGCGCTCCGTACGTCCTTGGTGGCGGCGCCGGTCCTGGAGGATCCCTCACCGCATCTCTTATCCCTGTGCGTCCCACTGGCGCGTCTGAAGATGGGAAAGTGCGCGTTTGTCCCTCATATGAGGTATAGGTGTCGTCATCGTCGGCAACGTCATCATCAGAGGCTGGGGAGGCGCTGGGAGGATCGCTGCTGATGGGGTTCCATCCGGGCTGGTCAGAGTTTCTGCCACCGCCGTAAGAAGTTGGAGGATCCCTGGGAGAAGAATAAGACGATGGAGGATCCCTGGGAGGGGCGTATGAGGACGGAGGATCCCTGGGAGGAGAGTATGAGGATGGCGGATCCCTCAGCGGGGCGGAATAGGACGCGGGTGGGTCCCTCTGTGGGGCGGTATAGGACGATGGAGGATCCCTGGGAGGGGAGTAAGAAGATGGAGGATCCCTTAGTGGGGCGGAATAAGACGCCGGTGGGTCCCTGAGAGGAGCAGAGTACGAGGACGGTGGATCTCTCGGTGGATCTCTGGGGGTGGAGTAGCCCCTGCTGGGAGCCAGTGGTCCTATAGGAGCTGGTGGATCTCTAGCTGCCGCTCCTCCAGCTATGATGGTAATGCTGCTGCCCGACCCGGTGCTGTCCCGGGGCCGCTCAGAACTCAGTCCTCCGTTCAGTCTGATACTCGTGCCGGACCTTCCCCCCAGCTGGATCGAGGCGTCGCCCAGGGAGATAACCACACCTGAGTCGTCCTCCTGGTCCCTCTCCCGGTCCCGTTGACGCCGGCCGGAGTCGATGCCGTACGGAGTGATGTAGGTCAGCTGTGGTGTGACCAGCGGGTTCCGGAGTGGCGTGGAGTAAGACTGGGACACGGGCGTGGCAGCGGCGGGGCTCTGTAGTAGATAGGCGCCGACCGGGGCTGGCAGGACGAGACTCGGCTGCGGGACGGCCTGCTGCTGCTGAACGGCAGTTGTCTGGACCGGAGCAGAGACGTAGGTCTGAACTGGAGCCGCCGCGGCCGGTGGCTGCACCGTGTAGGTATAGGTGACCACTGGAGCCGCCTGCGGACGAGTGTAGGACGGCGCCGGGGCCGCCGCCGGCGCCGGGACGGTGACCGGGGCAGCGGCCGGCGGCTGGACGACATATGACGTCACCGGGGAGGCAACACTCGTCACTGTCACAGTCTGAACCTGCAGCGGGGCGGCATAGATCGGCAGAGGGTCTCGTGGTGGCAGCCCGTAACTCGAGCTGAGAGTGATAGGCTGTGCGGTAGTCACGGGTGGCGCCGCCTGCACGGGGCTCTGAGAAACAGGCTGCTGGTATAGTGTAGATGGCGCTGGCGAGCTAGCCGCTCTGGTGGCGCTCGTCCCACCACTCGCGGCGGAAGAGGTGGCCGCGCCTGACCTGGTCCGCTCGCTGAGGTAGCGCTGGATCAACGTCACCAGCTGATCACTGGAGCTGCTGGTCCCGTAAGTAGCGTCTGCCACGGCGAACGGCACACTCGGTGGTCCATACTGATCGTCGAGAGTCACAGGAGATATTGTCACGGGAAACATCGACGCGCCTCGATTCGGCATGGTATCAAACAGAGACGGTTTCGCTGACTGATCCGCCGTAGAACTTGTGACGTCCGTTGTGATTGATACGGGCCTGGCTTCAGACAGCGTCTCTGTGAAACCACCCAGCTCTGCCATCTGGCTGATGAGAGAGTTGGTGTCACGAGGTGACCGGAACCTCCGAGCGTCAGTCGGACCGATGGTGCTGACATCTGTCGGCTGCACTGCTGAGCCATCGGGCGGCTGCTCGGCAACCGACGGGGCAGCAGCAACAACGACCAGCAGCGAAACGATTATTCCTGTGAAAAATAAGGTGATAGTCAGCTGAGAGAATACAAATGTGTTATGAAGCGGTTTAATCGTAGTATTTTGTGACAAATAATCATTTTCTATGACATTTAATCTTTTTATCCTATCTATTATTTTCAAGCGACTGTAGAGACCGAATCCGTTATAGGTACGTACGACCTTTTGATCATCTTCAATCATCGTCGTGTCGCGACTAATTGAGCGATCATTTCACAGGAAAAGCAAGTACCTACCTAAGTGCGCCGTTACGAGAGGCGACACTTGGTATCCCATTTCAAAGTTCCATGCCAATCGATGACCTGGTCAAGTCAAAGGTCCAGAGGAAGACACCTGTTATTTGGTAATTAGCCCTCGCCGGCACAGGCCATTTTGAGTCCTTCGACGGCACAAGGGGGGGGGGTTGGTATGACCCCCCCTCGCGACCTGACCTTCAGGTGACCTTGACACCCACCCTAATGTATGGGAGCAACATCAAATCACATGTTTGAACGTTTGAAACCACGAAAAGCTTGCAAACGCGCGGCTAATGCGAGCCGACATACGCCGAATCGCGATTTCGGCCAAACATGGTCTCGGAAAAGAGGTCATAGGTCAAAGGTCATTGGGGTCAGGGTCATGAAATGTTCAGGGAACGTGTAAAATTGATCAATGCGAGGGTACTGAAAGTTTCGTCGCGATCGGCCGCCTTTTACGCGAGTTATTCGCGAAAAACCTTAGGGGGGGGGGTTGCATCAACCCCCCCCCCCCCGCCTGTGCCGGCGAGGGTTAAAGGCATTGCAAAGAAGCGCGGTATTTTTGGATCTGGTAGAAGCTTAGAAATTTAGTAGGCCAGTACCTAGCCTGATAAGAAAATTCAGCTAAACTTAAAAGACATTGTTTGAGTCAAAGGTCAGTTATACCAACTTCTGTTCTATTTACATATAATACATATATGTATTCTGAGCAACCGTGTAAAAGCCACCTTGGGGTTGGTGCTAGCACCCCAGACGTTTTTCGTAAGTTATCGGAGCTCGCGCTGGAGTTAGAGAGATGAAAGGTGTCAGACCAGACATTTGATTCAATTGGGATCGTCTGCTACCAACTGCACTTTCAGGTCAGGTCAGGCCAGGTCACTGACCTTTGACGTCATAAGTGTACCTATGTATGGTCCACAAATGTCGTAAGTTTGCGATACTTTCTGTGTCAGGGCACATATTATTACCGATATTAGACGCTTGTACACAGAAAATACCCCACCCATGTGCTTCAAATGGACGCGAACCCGATACAAAACAAATTCACATTCTCAAATCGTCCTCTTTACTATCACCAGAGGCAAACACCCAACCAATTACCTCCAAGGCCCTCAATATACCCAACACCTACGCGAAACCCTCCTCCCCAGGCGTTTGGCTCACCGTTCATGGGCTCCGTTGCCCGACGCGGGCGGGGTGCGTCGTTTTGCGGCGCGCTGCACTGCACGTCCGTCGTCGCAAGTGCGCCACTATGGTCTCCGCCGAGTCGGCGGCGCACCGGCCGGCCGCTGGCGGCGGTAGAAGAGTCGTCTTCTGACCCGAATCTGTCAGGGGCCTCCGTCATACTCGGACACGGTACGTGATGTTATCTGAAGTGCGTGCTGGGGTCGGCCCCTCGGGAGGGGACAGGGCTCGTCCCGATCTGCGCCCAGGTTCATGATGACATCCCTCGCACAGGCATTCAGAGAAAGTGTTTTTCTCAAGAGCACTCATGGAGGTTGACGTCGGCCTTCTGAAGAGATTAGAGGGGAATATGGTTCAGAGCTTGGTGGCTGTCTGTCTGAGGCAGAGCATATACGTTATCATCGAAATCAGATATGAGTGATCTGCTTACAAAGAGCGTGGATTCTTACAGTGAAGATGCTCGCGATTGTTACCTACGATTCGAGATGTTCCCTGTCAGTTCTGTCATCTGGGATCTCATTTCTAAAGACAGTACTCAAATTTTGGGAATATTTTCCATATTGTTATATAAATATGTGCCTGTGGAAGGGGGTTATACAAGAAGACTGTTGAAAGGATTGTAACGCCTTCTACTCTTCTAGTACATTTAGGAAAACAGGTGAACACGATTTATACCAAAAAGCCGAATGTAGCTCACCCTTTTGATGTGGTTCAACTCAAATTGTCGTGATAAGTGTCTTTTACTGGCGTACGCCGACATGTGGAGGCATTTGTCTCTAGCTGCCCCTGCCCGGAACATAGCTGTCAGGCATGTATTTGCCGCACTGTGTTACGTTAGCTGTTATTCTGCAATTTTTGTTTCATTATGAGACGGTAGGACATCATCACCGTTTTTAGTGTGCACTCTGAACGACGTGCCAAATCGCATGATTTGCAATGACCTGCCCATACGATATAATTTGACCAACTTAGTTTTGACCTGATCGGCTTTAACCTGACCTTGACCAATGACCATAGATAGACGTTCTATGGTGACTTTTCAAACAAAAAACAAAAAATATATAACTTGACGCGCCTTTCCATGTTCAACATAATGGGGCAAAATAGTTGCTTTACAACAATTTAGGACGACCCTATTCATAAATACATCTTTTTCTAGCAATTAATCTGGTCCAAGACGTTCACTGGATGACCTAAAACCCTAAAAGGGGTGTAAGCCGCTGCGTATCGCAACGATACACATGCGTTTTTATTTACCAAAATTATAGCTCAGTTAGAGGCGGAATATCCAAAAAGGGCTTAGAAACAACTTTCAGATTTGACCTTATTTGATCTTGTTTGATCCGACTTCTTGATATGCTGTTTTAATAAGCATGACTTTGGCCGTAAATGGGCCTATCCCGTGGCTGATATAGTGAACAAATTAAATAAATGAACTGCTCTGCACCGATCTTAGCGCTATCAATTCGAGTACCTACGAAAAGTACTCGAATAGTTTTGCCAAGCTACTAATAGTTTGCTCTAAAATGAACCGCTCATTTTCATTTTCCTGTACATACAAGAAAGCCAAGCATCGCATGTCGCAGTCTCTCGATACAGAGTTTATGTAATGAAAAACATTTACGGAATATCCATACTTGTCATAGACAAAGCCAAAATAAAACTTTTATTGTCTCTTGTTTATAAGTGTAATCCATAATTTTGGTCCCTTGCCGACTAACTAGTGGGTATTCAACAGCTAACCTGGTAAATTTTGAAGTTTTACCTTTTAGCTATAGACGACTTCAAGAGTATAACGCAGAGTGACAGCTCACCATCAAGTTATGTATTATTTACACGAGTAAAACAGCATACAATATTTACAACTGGGTCAAATCGTTGAGGCGTCCCTGACTAAAACTTGAACAATAAATACGGCAAGCATGCTAAAACCAGATAAACATACACACCCTCTCACTGATCACACAGAGCACCTGTAACGCGCCATACACTGTAACGCGCCATACACGCGCCATACCATTATCCGAGTGACACTCAGAGGCGTGTGGATGTGACTATGAGGTATGAAATGGCACCCGGGAGGGTATCATCACACCACTAGCGCAAAAACGCAGACTCGAAACCTGATTACATTCGATTGTTGGTGTCGACAATATATGTAACTACCTATCTACTGAAGACATTTCAAAAGTTGTGGTAAATGTGGTAAGCTGTGGAGGATTTGATGACGTTTTCTAATGAGAGTATTTATCTACATTGACATTAGAAAAAGTGCTATGATCTGCATCCTAAAATGAAAATGAAAATGATACTTGGAATCTGTAGGTACTTGGAATAGATCATTATTATTATAGTGTGTTTGGTGTGTGATATACTTATATGACTTCACCTGTCATTGGGCCAAGCCTGTTGGTGATTTGCGCAAATACAGAAATACAGAAATACAGAATACGTGTAACGGCAGTGGAAAAAAAAACAGAAAATCACGTAGGCATACAACAAACGACATGATACAGAAGAATCCGTTCGACCCCATAATTATCAACCAAATCGCTCCAATCTATCGGGGTATGTTTGCACAAATACCAATGTGTGTGTCAAGTAAATCGACAAAGCCACAGAGCTCGTCCCACCCCTCGCTAGTCAGTTACACGGTACACCCTGTCAAAACGCGACCAGAGTTTGTCGCTCCGCTCGCCAGGGTGGCAGGGCCGTCGCTCTTCCGACCGCCACGTCCGGTTTCAGGTCAGAGGTCATCCGCAGCCGTCGTGACCCGACTCGACCTCTGACCCGGCCCAGTCACGACATGTGGAGCGGCCCCGGAACAACGAGCAGCGAAATAGCGCGGTAAGCAGCGGTAAACGTGAGAACGACCCAATGCATATTGGTGGGTGATTTGGAAGCCTTAACATATTGTGAGCACTGACTGAGTAATATTCAGAACAACAAGCTGATCTACTTGAGTGAACATACGCCTACCTATGTGAATATGAGACAAGCATTGTAATACAGTTATCCATTTGATGAGTACACCGTTGGTGAAACGCCCTACTTCAACTGAACCTTTCCATCGACCACAATTGCAACAAACCTGCTCAGCAGCAACATACAAGCCTCTTGAAAGGTTCACCAGCCGATAATCTGACTCATATCCATGAATGACACTGGCTCGGAACGATTCGCGGGTCAGTCCACTCGCCCTGCCCCCTGCCCCGACCCGCGGCGACTGGGCGGGCTGGCCTGATGACCTGACCACTTCATCGTCAGCGCTAGCGAAGGATGCCGTCTGTCCGCCGACGCAGCTCCCCAGTACTGTGTTTCTGATTGGCTGCCACCGCCGCCGGCAGCAGAATCTCCGTCACAACTGAACATGGAACATTCTCGATGGACTATGGCCTTTGTCAGTTTCGCGCCTGAGCCATCAGCCGTCTGGCTCCCCTCGTCCAAGCTGAAACAGGAAGGAGCTTGTTAGAAGGTGGCACTCACTTGTCTTTGAAGAAAGTGGCATTGGAGTCGATGATGATAATCTACAGGTCACATTATAAAAAGATATCATTTAGTTCCATATATTGTAGGTAGTATATGGAAAGATAACAATGATGTAAAACGATTTCGAATGATATCGGAAACAGCCTGGCAATTGAAATCAGGGTGGACAAGAAAAGGCGATTAACACAGGACATGCTTCCCCGTGAAGATATCCCAGTAGCCCTTCTGGCCCCATCTGCCGTCCTCCGATCAGCGGTGACGGTGAAAGCAGCGTCCAGCCGCCCGCATACGATGCGCTCGGACGTAACACGATACCGTGTCGGCGCCGGCCTCGCCGGGGAGAACGGGAAAGTTTTGGGGAGAGCGAGGGAGAGAGAGGCACTGCGCCGGGGTCGCGGCCGATAACACGGCTCACTTAACCACGGGATGGTTTCCCATATCGATAGAACATGGTAATTGGTAAGATGATATGCATCGATACAAGAAAACCGTGATGATTGGAATGATAGCTTCCCATCCTATTGGAAGACGCACGTGATGATCTATGTCATGAGCTGACTACCGGAGATGTGATATCTTAGGAAAACGTGACTGAAGGAGAGAGAGAGAGAGAGAGAGAGAGAGAGAGAGAGAGAGAGAGAGAGAGAGATAGAGAGAGAGAGAAGATAGAGAGAGAGAGAGAGAGAGAGAGAGAGAGAGAGAGAGAGAGAAGAGAGAGAGAGAGAAGAGAGAGAGAGAGAGAGAGAAGAGAGAGAGAGAGAGAGAGAGAGAGAGAGAGAGAGAGAGAGAGAGAGAGGAGAGAGGAAGAGAGGAGAAGAGAGAGAGAGAGAGAGAGAGAAGAGAGAGAAGAGAGGAGAGAGAGAAGGAGAGAAGAGAGAAGAGAGAGAGAGGAGAGAGAGAGAGAGAGAGAGAGAGAAGAGAAGAGAGAGAGAGAGGAGAGAAGAGAGAGAAGAGAGGAGGAGAGAGAGAGGAGGAGAGAGAGAGAGAGAGAGAAGAGAGAGGAGAGAGAGAGGAGAGAGAGAAGAGAGAGAAGAGAGAGAAGAGAGAGAGAGAGAGAAGAGAGAGAGAGAGAGAGAGAGAGAAGAGAGAGAGAGAGAGAGAGAGAGCGTTACAGAACAGGCATGCATTGAAAGCACCGTGACCCGTACCGCTTGCAATTTCCACTCGGGCCTCTGTCAGTATCCGCGGTCTATCAGTTGGGCCTCAGCCGATAGACCATGTCATCTAGGTTTAGGCATGGTTTAGGTTCATTCCAGCTAAAGCCAGCCTTGCCTTGCCCTGAAAGTGATGCCTTGAAAGCAGGAAAGCAAACCTACATGGTCATACAATCATTTTCATGACCAGAGCCCATATCAGCTGAGCTCGTGCTCCGTGTGAGACAGACATTGGCCCCGCTCGAACCTACGTCAGCCGGCGTCGACCTGAAGCCCACCGACTCGATCCATGACAGCCGAACAGTGGCGGCAGTTAACCCTCGCCCGCACATGCCATTTTCCCATCCTAGAACGCACATGGGGGGTGGTTGCCACCCCCCCCCCCCCGCGCCATTTCGTTCCTGTTGGAGATAGAGCTTAGCAGTAAGGACCAAAAAGATTCTTTGGGAAGAGACGAATCCAATGATACCCAGTTTTACCTTCTCAGGTCAGTCATTGACCTTCCAGGTCAGGTCAAACTAAAAAATGTTGCTGTTTTGGGTCACCATTGGATATCAAGTGCGCTGCTTATCAAATACCGATGACGATGCTGTTTTCTGGTGCCAAGCCAGCTAGAACCTCTTTGTCACACTATCCGACCAGAATTTTGCTGCTGAGGTCATTTCAGGTCAAGTTAGGTCAAGGTCAATTATAGTGTTTGTATGTCTGTGTGTGTCTGTGTGTATACTGATGTGTGCACCGATTGTTTTTGGGTCCATATCACATGAAATCATGATCTGAGAAGCTTTTACCAAAAATGCAGTCAAAAAACTTCACAAAAAGTAAATTCAGCTTGCCTAAAACGCAATTATCTTAGATGACCTAGGTTGACCTTGACCCTGACCTTGACCCCTGTACATCGTCGAACAACATGTTCCATGATAGGTGGGAGGTAAGACTGGCAAAAAAGGCCGAAATCAGGGTGTCAAAAGCTCACAAGGCCCATGGCAAACGCAAGATGTTGAGAATTGGCCATTTGGGATGACATGACCTGAAAAACAAGGTCATATCTCCGAAACCAAAAATCACAGAAACTTGAAATTTTCAGTGGACATCAAGAAAGGATAGACGAGCAGCTATACGAAAAATCAGCCTTCTAGCTCTAAAAATGTTGAGTGCAGAGCAGAAAGACTGCCTGGGGGGGGCAACCACCCCCCCCCCCCCATGTGCGGGCGAGGGTTAAAGTAAAGTTCGTGACCAGCATTGATGAGCGCCGCAGCCACAGGGAGCTGTCACCAGCTGCGACAGGCGATGGACCATAAAAACAGAGCGGCTCGCTAATGTCTTCACAAGCGCTCACTGCCCTTTTTCATCGCAGAATCAATCAGTTTTCAGCCGGTTTTTGCGACTGAAACCCTCTCTCCTAGATGGGCGTATGCGTTTCAGCACATTTGCAACCACTTTCACTCGTTCTTGTTGCTTTGTTTCGTTACTGTTTGCTGTGATGTTCGGCGAAGCTTAGCGAATGAAAGGGGTTTTCTCTCTGTGACGGGGAGCACGTTCCAAACGAACATGGAACGTGACAACCAGGGACGGTCAAAAGAAACAATGACAAAAAAAGCTGCAGAACCGACTCGGTGGAAGAATGCGTATGCAGGTAATTAAAGGCAAAGTGGCCCGGATACAAAAAAACTTCATTCAAAGAAAATTGCACCGAGACAACGTGAGACAACTAAGATTGCGCTGATGTGAAGACAAAACATACCTTGAACAGATTTTTTATCAACAACAAAAAACGACCAGTTATGAATTGGGCTTATGTTATGAAGCAAGGAACGATATAGGGGGATCGGCTACCCTACCACTTCTATGTAAGTTGACTGAACTTGCACTTCCTTTGTAATTATTTTTCCTCTCACACGCACACACGCCCGCATACACCGAGGACCTCATCGTTTGTCCTCACATGAGACCCCAAGAACCCGACGACGGACGGGAAGTTTTTAGTCGAAGGCTTCTCTGGCAAAAGATCCCACTAAAACCAGTCACGACGTCCCAAGTTCTGTATCTAGTTACGATCTAGGGCAAGAGGATCCTGTCTGTCGGGAAGCCTTCATCAGGAGACCTCTATTCAATACTGAATATACGATGGGCGTGATGGATCGGCTTTTTAGTCTGGAGGGTTGCTTTAAATTAAATCATTTATGAATCAAAAACACACATTTGCTTGGACGCATAATTATTTAGACTTACGTTTTTAGGGGACCTCAATCTGAATCCAGTGATCGAATCAGTTGCCTAGCTACAACAATCTAATTTCTGATTCAGATAGATAAGGGGCGATTCACAGCAGCATTAGAATCTTGCCCGTGGTCAGCCCGACGTTCCTCATTCATAACGATGAAACAGATAACTACTAAGCCGCGTGTTGGAAGTCCCTGGTCCGTCACCGTGTGTCAACACTCCATCCGGCGGTCGCGGATTACGGCACGGCGACCTCAATAAAGTCCGCGTCCGGTTCACGCCTGCTCCGAATAGCTTGTGACGAAAGTGAAACAGGGGAACTGCCGCAACCGAGCCTTGACTCATCCCTGCTATGAGACAGGTTGCGAGGGGAGTCGGCAGAGGGGAACGCACGCCACCCATCGCTCTCCGCGTGGTCGCGGCCGCGGGGCGAGAGGGAAAGTGCGCTGGAGGCCGCGCTTTAGTGCGCCGCGCGCGCACCATGCGGGGACGGCCGACCGCACCGCACCGCGCCGCTCAGAGAAAGTGTCTACGTCTGGCTGGAGGGAGTCAGCTGTGGCGATAAAACGGTGGGCATTGACCGCTTCGAGACCTTCGTCGTGGTTGAAAGGCTGATGTTTTGGATCCATTCATGAGTGGCTGCTTTCCCCTGACCCAGCGCTGATGTTACTGATAGAGATCCGTCTTCATCTCAGCCGTTAGATCTGTTACTTCTTCACCGATGGGATTGCCACTGGTGCCAGCACGGGAGGAGGCTGACCAAAGAAGCATATTCGCCACATATCTACACATGTCTCTTTGCGGCACTGAGCCTTGCCTGCTGAGCTATACGCATTACGCATCCGCAAAACTGAGTTCTAGAGCTTAAATTGTCCTCTTGGTACTAAGCTGCATGAGCGTGAACCGTTCCTCTGAAAGGAATCGTTACATGTAGTGCATGTACATGTAGTTAGCTGAAAAATCGGGCCGGACAAAAGAACACGAAATTTCTTATTTCCTTACATGCAGCCATTTCCGTCTGAACTTCTGGAGCAGGGTCAGCGAGGGTGGGTCAGTAGGGGAAAAAAGTTTCACTTTCTCGCTCTCCCTCCCTCCCCTCGCGAGGTCTCCAGCCGTCGGGCCCTAGCCACAACTGACCGGCGTGCAGTGCCCCGTGCAAAGCTGCAGCAGCGCCTTTGACACGCCGCTCTGCACACACGGAGGCCGCCTGACCCACTTCACCGAGCATGGGACACTTTACAGCGCACCTTATGCCCTGCGATCGTAAACGACAGCACGACACTGGGAAGTTTGTGTTCAGCAGATATATGTATCCTGTGTGATCCGCTCTTTACAAGAGTACTTGCAATAAGCTGCATTGAAACAAGCCTGGGGATTAAAGATATATCTTACCATTACCTCTCGTTATTGTCAAAGATGGTAGGTTTAGGCACACTTGAACGTCAGAAGTGGCATAAGGAAGAAACAGTAAAATGTGTTACGTCTTTGTCATCATTCCGGGAAACATACATGATGACTAGGCATTATACATATAAGATGTTAAAAATTGTAATGCTTAGGGCAGCATGAAGTATGTGTAATGTATAGCAGTATATATGTAAGGGCCATATGTATAAAATCTGAACGCGAAGAGACTATGCATAGCTGAGGGCTTTCAAGAGAGTTCAGGAACCCAGTCCCAATTTCGTGGTGGTAGCGATTGACTTACTATGAGAGGAAGGTGGTGACCCTGCTGGCGACGCTGGTGACTGTGTCGCTGTCCTGCTGCGTCATGAAGTCGCAGAAGATCCTCTTGGCGCAGGGTCCCTGGCTCCACCGCTGGAAGCCCTCTTCGCGCAGCCGCTCGAGGAACTGGGCACGCAGGTGGTCCTCCGCTTCCACCAGGTTCTCCAGCAGTCCGGTGACGCCGGGCTCGTCCAGCGAGCGCCTCCTTCGGCCAATGATGTAGTGCGTGTTGTTGTCCACCGTGTTGGCATAGACGAGGACGCTGAGGCCTGCCAGCGCGCCGGCACCGGCCACCAGACCGCCCACCAGCAGCGCCTCCTCGCCGCCGGCCTGTTTGTCGGCCGGCTGGTCGGTCGGGGCGGAGAAGCCCAGCTCCTCCTTCAGACGGTCTGTGGCGTCGCGGAACGGCTGGGTCACCGGCCGGGTGAACTCGATGACGTTCTCGCCCAGCTTGCGAATGGGATCGGTGATGGTGTCGTACAGGGTCGGCTTGCGGAAGCCGTTCTCGTCGTACAGGTACGGGTCGTTGTTGTAGTAGGCCGGTGCGGTTGATGCCGGCGCGGACGGAGCGCTTGCCTGCGTGGGAGAGGCTGGAAAGCGGTCCTTCCGTGAAGTGCTGCCGAAGAGATTGCTGAGGAACGAGAATGGCCGCTTCTTGCGGAGGACCGGCTTCTTTGTCTGCTGACCGTTCGGAATTGGCACGGGGATGTTGACGATCGGCCCTCCGGGGATAGACTGGAACGCCATCTGCTTGATCTTGAACTGGTCCGGGTTTACCGGTCGACCCGAGAAGGGATCCACAGTGTCCTGGAAGTCGGCAGCCGCTTGCGGAAGGTTGTAGGATCCCGGCGAGAGGATCTGACCCGCGGGACGCTCTGTCGCGCTGCCTGAGCTGCTGGACGGGAACCGGAACCCACCCGAGGATTTGGACGGAACCGACTGGAACCGGTGCTCGAACTGTGAGCCGTGCTCGAACTGTGAGCCGTGCTGAGACTGCGAGCCGTGCTGCTGGCGGGTATTCGTCGGTCGCTGGAAGGGCCCGAAACCGGTCTGTGCCTGGTTTCCATGCGACACTTCCGTCTGGGCGCTGTTGCCCGGGTATGAGGCGGTAGGAGCCTGAGGATCTGTGGAGTAGTAGACATCAGACTGTGTGCTGGGACTGTAGCTGTACTGTAGCCTCCTCTCCGGCGAATACGAGTGCTCGGACTTGCTCGACTGCCGTCGCACGGGCTCATTGAAGTTCGTGTCGAAGAACGCCTGGTACACGGGGACGGTGGTGGTGACCTCAGGTTCTCTGGGAGTGGTTGTGTAGCCAGCGCTCTGTCTGTTGAAGCCAGGGTACCGGTTGCTGGAGGGTCGCCGGGTCGGCGCGGCCACGCTGGGAGCCTGGACGACGTTCAGTCCCTGACTTTTACTGTGACCCGAGTACTGGTAACCGCTGCTCACCGTGGCAGCCGTCGGCCTCTGCTTGGAGCCGTAGTAGGACTGGTAGTTGAACGGCGGCTGTGTGGTGGTTTTGACCCGGTTGAAGCCGAACTGCGCGCCGCTGCTGTAGCTGAGGATTCTGCCCTGCCGCACTGACGAGGCCGTTTCCGTCGCCGGCTTCGACTCCAGCGCGGCAGCCTGCGGTGGCGCCGGCAGTGGCGGCGGAGCCTCATCGTTGCGGAAGAGCTTGTTGCCGATGACGCGCGCGTTCCGCCACATGGGCTCGTTGCGCTCCTCCTCGGTCTCATGCACGCGGACACCGTACACCACCGGCACACCGTCATCGCCCACCACAGTGATGCCCTTCTTGGCGTTACCGGTAAGCAGACGATCGGCGCGGTTGTTTCCCTTGACGAAGGCGGTGTCAGAAGAAACGACTACCTCGGCAGGGACCGGGATCTGAGCCGAGCTGGCAGCGGCGGCGGCAGAGGCGGCGGTGGCGGTGGCGGCCAGCAGGGCGGCGCACCAGAGCGTTACGCTCGGTGTTCGTGACATGACGCTCCGCAGATCTGTGGGGCAAACGTCACGGGTCAGCGGTGGTCGACAGATGCCCAGAGCGGGAGCAGATGAGAGCTGCGGTCGCCGAGACAGATGTACGGACGGATGAGGCAGATGTAGGTACAGATCGGATCAGTCAGATAGACAGATGAGCCATTCAGTCAGACATCTGACCAGCTGCTGCACAGTCTGATGGTAACACATCATATCATTAGTCATATGGATCCTTATACCCTTCTTTGCATACGGATTGTGACAAATGCATGACAAGTACATAACAGATGATTGATTATAATCACACTTAGGGAGAGTGGGGTAATTTGGCCGCTTTTTTTAGAAAACGATGTAACTAAAAATCGACAATACCTTTCTGCATTTTCTCAACGCTGACAGGTGTGGTATACATTTTACTTTCCTGGACAGTAAACTTAAAATGATAGGGTGACTACTTATATTGAAATTGTGACGGATTACAAATGTCTGCAAATCGGCCAAATTGCCCCACTAGCAGGGTTATTTGGCCGGGGTGTGGGGCAATTTGGCCGGTGTTAGTTTGAGGCCATGATTTTTGTTATCGGCAAGTCAGCTTCACATTCAGCAATGACGCGTGTCCTACGACGCATTTGAAGCATTTTGGAGGTTGACTCAGCCGTCTCAGGGGTCGAAAATAGTCAAAATAGCGGCTCTAGATGTGATGACAGTTTTTTTTACGAATAACTTTTGAAGTAATCAAGCTAGGCCAAAACTAAAAATACCATCGTAATTCTCTCGTCATTCCGCATCGAAACATGTATGTGTTGACCTCGAGAGGTCAAGGTCAAAGGTTGGCTTCAGGTCACGTTACCTCAGGTCGCTTGACCTCAAGGTTACGTGAGATCAAGGTCATCATGTATATCATTCGATGCGCCTTGACGAGCTGAACACAATGAGACCATTTGCGCGGCTGAATCTTTATTCTGTTGGGATTTATTAGCAAAACAGCGTTTGGTTATATTTGATGACGTCACATGCCCTTACAGCTGTCCAATAGGAAATAAGGCATCAAGGTAGTCTAAGTTGGTCATGAATTATGTCCTTAATGGTATAATTGACCGTGACAACTCGCCCGTCCCAGCATAGTGACTCTGAGCGCACCGGGCCCCGCTAGTCCCGGCCAAATAACCCCACATTGCCATTCTGAAAATTTTTGTCTATAAAGTCGTCATGGCTGTACAGAACTAGATGAAATTGCTCTTGGAACCGCTGAACACCCTCAAGAATGGCGGTATAATGTTGAAATTCGCTTACAGCCCAAATACTACATGTTATACAAATTTTTAAACGGAAGTAAATGTTACCATTTTCTAACGAAATTCACGTTTTATTAATTTTGAATAAAACTAAGAGGGGAAAGTTTTGACATTTGTTCTCTAGTTATTTCTGCCGATGACAAATGAATAGAGACTAAAGTTATTTCATTCACTTTTATCAGCTTTCGTACAGGTGGGGGCGGCCAATTTACACCACCCCAAATTACCCCACTCTCCCCTACTGGTTTCAAGAACCCTCGTTGCAACATTTGCACACAACACGAGGTCAAAATTGGAATTATAGCTGGCATTTATGCCTACATGCACGGGCAAGTACGTATAACATTGTTCGTCGAGTTTTGTCTAGAAAAGCTGTGGATAACTCTCGCTAAATATGCATCTAGCGTTTGTTCAAAGATCCACGGTGATATCTATTTCAAAACAATTTAAGCTTAATATTTATGTTATATCTACTGTTATTTGTGCCGGCGGCCGCTCTTGTTTATCGACAGCAAAAGACATAGGTGTCATTGGTGTTTAAACAATAATCAAGACAGCTGGACAAAGCTGAAGCACAACTCAGTTTTCCAAAGGCTTTCATTAACCAGCCGTTTAATTTTACACTTCGTCTTCGCTTGTTTCTAACGCCGCAGGTATGCCTAGGGCCCTAAAACATCCGACAGTGTGTGCCTGGACAGGCGAGTGCCGCCGCCCGCTGTGTTAGAGCGGAAACAGCTGGGCCGCAGTGGGTCACGCCGAAAACAATGGGCGACGTGCGAGCTCGTGTACCGACGGACTACACAATGGTGGCGGCTGTGTACATGGACGTTTAGCAATGTCAGCCGTGAGTCAGCAGGTGATGAACAAAACCTGCATTTGGGGCTATAAAATTGCAGAGTATTGCAAACAATGTTATGTTTTTAGGCATTAGCCTGTGTAACCTGTCTACATAGCAACTGTGTTTTGCGTGCGGAAAGCTTTCCAAATTAGATGCAATTGGATAAAATGATGTCACTGCAACACCGGCACTAGCATTTCTCCTGCTATCTGCCTCTCGGGAGTCTATCTCCCGGTTCTACTTTTCGCTGACACATCCATCTTCGACAGTCCGTCCTCAGTCCCAGCCGTGAAACGGAGACACTTTTATCGGCCAGGTGGCAATTGAGGCCAGCGCCGGGCGCCGGTGGGATGACACGACGCTCGACGTTCGTCGTGTCCGGCGGCGACGGCCCGCTTCCACCTCTGCGAGCGGCCGAGGTGGCCTTACTCGGAGTACATCGGTGGCACCAGGGTGTGGGCCGTGAGAGTCGAGTCCTGTGGTCGTATTGGACGAGTCCACGACCTCTTTACTCCAAGTCCGCCCTCCAGACTGAAATTAATGAGGCTGGTTTTGACCCTGCCCGGATAACGCTCCAATTAACCGATGAAGCTGTCACTTTTATCATCTTCACAAAAGAAAGAAAATTGGAAACTCTAATGACCATTTACATTTCATTATTGTCCTCCGTCGCGCACATTGTGTGGTGGGCAGTGACGAATGGTTTGGGCCGGGTTAATGTGCGGTGGATTGGTGGGGACGTGCGGCACAGATCGTCCGCCACTTCGGCTCGGTTAAATGGCCACTTTCACAGCGTGCCAGTCCACATCTGTCACTCACCGTGCACCCCGGGAGGCTTCCCATTCTCACTGTTGTTTCCAGTGAAGCTTGGTAATAAAACACGCGTGACTAGTTGGTATGCGATGTGAGGCACTAAAGGAAGAGAGAGAAGGAGAGTATGAAAAGACGAGCTAGCTCTAAGGAAAAGAATGAAAAACTGAGAGAATGATTAGAGTTTCAAAAAGGACAATTGCAGTAACGGTCAGCAGGGTGCCAGGGAACAAGGATAAACGTTGATGTTTTCCAGTCCTCTATATCGCACACCTCTTCCACACCTTACCAGTCTGTCTCCCGGCGTCCAGACTCCGGACCAGTGACGTTTGCCGTCGGCGCCCGCGGCCAGTGACTGGGTTTCACGGGCGCGGCACTACCCCACTTTGGCACCGCGCTCCGCCGTAACGCGGTCACTGCCAGAGCAGAGATCCGCCACCCGCCTCTGGGTCATACGCGCGGCCTTCGCAAGAGTGGGCGGCGCACTTTGGGGTAAGCTGATCAGTGTTTGCGAATGGATAAAGAGGGAAGTTTTCCTGCCACCAGTTTCATGTAAGGTGTGACGTTTTCGAAAGCTTAATTCATTGTTAGTTATGGCCGGTGGGTATGAGTTATTTTGCAATCTTACGCAAGAATCAATCATTGCAAAAGCCGCTGGCGTCACGTGGTTATATGACGGCAGTTGGTTCCACTTTGTCAACAGATGCATGGCGCGGAACTGTGAAACTTTCAGTAAAAATGCACAATAATTCCCCAATGTCGCTCCTGTCTTTCCCCTTTTGTACGAAAGGAACTTTTTTGAGATTATGGATAAATAAGCACAAGACAAAATTATTGACACCAAATGATACTTTCTACTTTGAGTTGCTCTCAAATCATCAAATGATTGGCTTCTCTTTATCAAATTATTAGTTCTCCTCAAATGCTTAGCAGCATAGCACTTCGTAGGATTTGCCCTTAAATAGTCTTTTGTTTGGCGTTGCAATTTCTGATTCCTTTTTGTGTACCCCTGCAGTCTTCGCTACCACTTGGTCTAGCGCTGCAGTCTCTAGTTATCTTCTTGTGATTAATTGCAGTCTCCGCTACCTCTTGGTCTAGCGCTGCAGTCTCTGGTTCTCTTCTTGTGATGCACTGTAGTCTCCGCTACCTCTTGACCTGGAATTGCAGTCTCTCATTCTCAGCCTGACATTGTGTCGATTTCTTTTTATCTGGCGGAACATTTTTTTCAGCTCTCAGTGGCTTGCATGATGTGTCGAGCTTATCCCCACAAATAAGAATGTGCAAATAATAAGAACTAGTGCAAATAAGGGTCTCTTTTTTCCGACCACTCAGAACCGGGAACGTTCTGGTGTACTCTATAGGTAATATAGAATAAATGAAAAACCTGGAGCAAACACCTTTTTCTGCTGTTACACTTTTACGATCGCAACAGGTGCTTTCCTCCCTCGGTAAGCCAACTTTACTGTCACGGCATCAGATTTAATTGTTAGATTATCCTGTTCCCTACCCTGATACGTCACAGGGTGGCGCACTTGGCTACGCGCGCCTAGGAACAGAGAGAAAGTGACTATGTGCAAACTCCGTGCAAATGCGAGCGCTTTGGGGAATGCAGTTTTGAAAATGGTGCAGGACTTACTCATTGGCACTTAAAATATTCGAAGTGTTCACTTTCAAGCATTGCTTCAAAAGTGGATTGCGATGAAATGCGATCATCACGCAACTAGAATTTTGTTTCATACAAGAATGGCAGATAAGCGAGAATATGGTCAAATTTTTGTTGCATTTTTTTTGTCTCAGTGAAATGTGCGATATTATCTTCAACATGACACTCAATTGTCGGCATTGCGTATAAAAGTCCACCCAGTTGGCAACCTTGGCAAACAGACGGATCCAGCGCAGATCGGTTCCGAAGCTCTCTCCGGGCCCGGTTCCGGGTCACTCCGGGAGTGTGCCGAGCTCTGGAGGAGGCCGGGGAGCGGCCGGAGTCCGGGACCTGCCCGGCGCAGTGCCGAGGAGTGTCGGTAATGAGATGAGTTCGATCCAGGTGCGGTCTCTGGGTGGGTGGTGCTAGGCG